CCATGATCGATATTCAGAGACCACAACTGCTCTTTATCCTGCTGCCCAAAGCTACCAACATCGAAACAAACTGAAAAATTACAAGCTCTCCCAAGAACATGTTGTGACAATTGAAGGCTGGTACGAGATGCCAATGGGACTATATGATATTGACCGATTTGAACAATTTAACAACTGTCAAGTCAATGTATTCCGGTGAGCATTGATTTTTTTTGACAAAATATTTGTTTAATCATGTATAACACATTACGTTCATCCAGAAACCCGAGCACTCAATTGTTTTTTTTTCATTAGGTACAAAGAAGGTGAATTGCTACCTTTCAGAGTGTCCAGCAAATACTCAAGTGATCTATGTGTTGACCTACTACTACTCAGCAACGGACAAACTCATCACTATGTGCTGATCACTGATTTGATGAGGATTGTGGAATATGTGCGTGGAAAACTACACCGAGACCGAAACCAAATTTGCCGCAAATGCTTCCATACATGTTCATCCATCGATACACTACAAAGGCACCAGGAAACGTGCTACCAAGACGAGGGAGTGGTAATCACTATGCCAAAACCGGGAAAGGACACTCATCGTTTCAAAAATTTAACTGCCCGCTGGTATGTACCGAGAGTTATTTACTTTGACCTCGAATCGCTACTACTACCCGTATACGGACCGCAACCCGACCCCAAAAAATCTAGCACCCAAACACTAGAGATTCATCAACCATGCGGTTACGCTCTGGCCGTTGTTGAATTTGGGAAGCGCGAAGTTTTAAAGTTTGAACTGAAGAGAGGAGAAAATGTTGAAGGAATTGATCGCCTCGCTCGAATCTTTGGCGAAACAAATATACCTCGAAAAACGAAAGTATTACACGTTCACTGGCACACCAAAGAAGCGCACACTTGTTGGATATGTGAAACCGAATTTGCTGACAATGACCAAGTTGTACTTGATCACTGTCACTATACCAACAAGTTCTTGGGGTGGGCGCATAACGAATGCAATATCAATCAAAAAACGGCGAACTATATACCCGTAATAGCGCATAACTTGTCAAACTATGATCTGCATTTCATTATAAAAGCACTCTCAAACAGTAACCCCGAAAACATTTACTCAGTGATCCCTTCCACTGAGGAGAAGAATATATCACTCACTATGTCGGTCTATATCAAATCATACACCGATAAAAACGGAAAACTCAAAAAAGTGTATGAAAATCTACGTTTCATAGACTCCTTTAAATTCATGCTGTCCCCCCTTTAAAAACTCGTCGAATACTTGCCGGAAGAAAAATTTTTCCTACTGGAAAATTACTTTGAAGAACTTGGTTACTCAGCAGAACAGATAGCATTGCTAAAACATAAAGGTTTCTACCCGTATTCATACTATAGCAGTTTTGGAAAAATTTCGAGAAACCCGACTGCCACCTACAAAAATGTGGAGCAAAACTTTACAGGGAGGGGAAATAAGTTTTCGAAAAATCAGTACAACCATGCCATTAAAGTTTTCGCCGAAATGAAATGCGCATCACTAGGCGAGTACCATGATGTATACCTAGCAACGGACGTACTACTACTCGCTTCAGTATTCGAAGCCTTTCGTGAAGTTTGTTACAAAACGTACGGATTAGATTGTGCATGCTACTTCACGGCTAGTAACCTCTCGGGCGATACATTCTTAAAAGTCTGCAATGCAGACCTCAAGTTACTTACAGAAAGGGAGCATTTGAAAATGGTTCAAAAAAGGATACGGGGAGGGATGTCATCGATATATGCACGCCGTTTTTTTAAAGCCAACAACAAATACCTCGAAGACTACAATCCTGAAGAGCCCTCTAGCTATCTATTAAATATAGACGCTAACAATTTATACGGGGGTATTATGAAACACTGTCCCCTTCCCATCAAAGATTTCTCAATAGTTGAGGAAAGTCTCGAATATATTTTGCAAACCGACGATAAATCTGAGTGGGGATACATTTTGGAAAAGGATCTCAGTATACCTGAAGAACTTCAAGATTACTTTGCAGACTACCCGCTAGCCCCCTCACGTGAAGTTATCGGTACGGATAAACTAAGTAACGAGCAAATACAGATGTTATGGGAGATGGGGGTCACGTCGCTACCAAAGGTACCAAAACTGGTTCAAACATTAGATCCAAAGGAAGGCTACGTTCTGCACTACCTTACATTAAAACTCTACATAGAACTCGGCTTAAGAGTTACCAAATTGATTAAGGTCTTAAAATTTCGTCAAGGTAGATGGATGGAGCCCTTTGTCGATTTAAACACTCAATTGAGAATGTCAGCGCGCAACAAGCTTGAAGAGAACTTTTACAAGCTCATCGTAAATTCAGCATTCGGTAAAACTATGGAATCAAAACTAGGACGCAAAAAACTAGAAATTATTAGAAACGAAAGAGAATTGCTTCAAAAAACAGCTTTGAGCACGATGAAAAGCTTCCAGATAATCGACGAGGAAGTTGCTACTGTTTGTTTTGCTGTAACGAGTATTTTGTGGGACAAACCCATGATAATTGGTGCAAGTATTTTGGATTTGTCGAAAAAATTCATGTTTTACTTTCATTATCGGCAAATGAAAGCAAGCATGAACCTTGAACTGCTATACAGTGACACAGATTCGTTTATTTATGCGATAAAAATTGAAGACGTATACGCAGATCTGCAAAAACTGACCGATAGTTTTGATTTTTCCAACTACCCAAGCGATCACTTCTTATTCAGCAATGTGAATAAGAAGGTTGTATTGAAATTTAAGGACGAGGCGGCGGGAAAAATCATTGCAGAATTCATCGCGTTGAAACCAAAGCTCTACTCGTTGAAATATGCAGGTTAGTATTGAAAAAAAAGCACCTCTCCAAGTCCCCTCCATTTCTTTGCATTAAAGGTTCCATCCATTGGGGGTTTGGATCTTGTTGGGACCAAATTAATAACTTTTGTTGATCCCTGTCAATTTAATTAGACATAACTAGCCCTAAAAGGCTCTGATTCTTCATTTAAAAACTTAAAATGAAGAACCATTCATCATTTAAAATGTTTTAAACAAATACTCACCACAAACGCACTTTTGTAACTTTTGACAAGAACAATTTTAAAATTTTGACATGGAATGATTTTTTGATAATGACACGATTTGGAATTTTTATAATTTGGAATGAATTAAGATATTTAAACTTTTTGGAATTGAAAAAATTGGAATGTTATTAGATATTGAGTCTTCAAAATATTCAGATTTGGGAACCGTTTTCGTTATTAATACTAGAACTGGGCTTGCGAATTTTTATGGGCTTACAAAGCTAAAATATGTTTATGGGCTAATCTTTGTTCTTCATTTAGATTCAACTAGCAAGAGGAGTGCAAAAGGAGTAGTGCAACACTCCCAGCAGCAACTTACACACCAGAGGTTCAGGGAAACATTACTGAGTGGAAAAACCCTTCGTATATACAACTACTCAATAAAATCGAAAGCCCATACCAACATAACCATAGCGCAGAACCGAATTGCCCTTTCACCCTTCGATAGTAAGCGGTTCTTACTATTCGACGGGATAGCTACATTGCCCTTTGGACACAGGTCTACAGAAGAAAATGTGTTCTTCGAGGCCATTGCGGAAGAAAGCGAGTGGGCAAACTCACAGTTGACAAATACCCCGACTTATAGCAGCGAAAACAGTGAAAGCTGGCAATCACCGGAATTCCGGGTCCCAGATTGGGGCTTTCTTCAAGAAAGCTATACGGAGGAAGAGCTTCAAGAAGAAAGCGCAGCTAGCAGTTCAAGAGACCCTCCGCCTATCAATAACCCATTCATTCTAACAGAAGTGTCTGTTCGTTCTAGTCAAAAAAAAAGGAGAAAACTTGATAAAACTGATCAATAAATTTTTTCACTTGAAAATGTCGGCTAAATTGCCTTGTCACTTGGAATTACGGCTGTACATTTGTAAATATAAAACATTCAACAAACATTGTTTTAAGTTAAATAGACCGGCGCAAAAGAGACTGGTAATTGCAACTTACCCTTGAAGCAGGAGCGAACGATTGCGTATTTAGTTTTCCAAAGTAAGCTAATAGTAAGGCTAAAAGAATCAAAATGGTGCAAGTCGAAAATAAGGGAGACTTGGAAATAAGTTTGAAAATAAAATAAGAAAGAGAAACGAACAATAATTACCAAAAATTTTTAAAAGGAAATATGAATGGTACTTTATGTAAACTCATATTTATATGAACGAAAAGGATTAGCTTTTAGATAAAAATAAGCGAGAAAACCGCAGCCGGATATACCCATACTTATTTAGTGGTGGGAAAGTTTGGAAGGGATTAAATTTAACCACCGCGCGAAAATAAATACCAAAGTATTTTGTCTGTCGGGTGTCCTAAGAGAGGGGTCTTTTTATTTCGGGCAGGGTACTTTGGGGTCTTTAAAAAAGATGGGTCCTTTTGGACCCTACTTTTGGTAGGACCCCAAAAACCCCTACCGTCGAAAAGACCCCCCCCCCCCCTAAGGACACACGGCGGATTACAATACTACTGAAGTCTTTGATGATTAACTACTGTTGTAGAAGAAACAAAACGTTCTCATATGAATGCACAAATAAAACGGACAATTTTTCTTAACCTGTTTGAAAAACTGTTGCAATAAAAAACAAGAAAGGGATTTAAAGTTAGTTTGTTGAATAATCTGACATCCACAATTCGCCAGGGTGCTTTGATAGTTTTCCAACGGTACTTCGTCGCTTGTAATTTGCATGTAAAACTATGTTCAGAAAATATCTTAGGAGCTCGACAAAGGAGCAAAATACCTTCGAAATTCACGATATTTTGTCCACAATTTGGGCTCGGGATCTTTACTGTTATGTGGCCCAAAATGACCAAAACTTTGAATGAGCTATTACGTTTGAAATTGTAAGCTTCAGATTTCTTTCGCATTTGTCAATTTCATCCAATCAGAATGAAGCATCATGATCTAGGTTTCTATGTTTCAGGCGATAAATTCTCCCGTTTTGAGACATTCATGGTGAATCATGGGGCAGATTGGGTGTGTGGCCATCGAATCACAATAGCCGATTTCATCCTTTGGACTGTGCTGGATTACAACGTCACTCTGTATCCAGACATCCTGGATCCTTATCCCAATCTGAGGGCAGTTAAGTCTAGAATGGAGTCTGTTACTCAGGTCGCGGAGTATTTGAACAGTGAGAGGTTTTCGAGATTTCCAATTAACAGTCCGTATGCGAACTGGGGTGGCCAAAAAAAGTAGAAACTATTTTTCTTGATAAACATACCTGACCTAGTAAATGGAAATTATTGGTCTCAGTATTTGATCAATTAATTAAACCTGCTCGCTGTACTTAAATAAACTGACAAATAAAAGTTAACGTAAAACGCTATGTTTGTGGCCAATTAGTTATATAAAAACCCATGGAACTGCTATATCATTTTTTATCAGATGTTTGAAGATTTTGAAAATCCGATTCCATAAAATTCTCGATGTTTTCATCCCATTAGTTCGACACAATTCTGTGTCAAAATGTATTTGACAGATGCATTGGTTTAAACCTTGACAGGGGCGGATCTAGGATTTTCTCGAGCGGGGGGGGGCGGATTTTCAAAAAAATTTCCAAAATTTTGACGACCTTTTTTTTAGGTCGACCAAATTGATTTTTCGAGCTCTCCCAAAGCACTGTTTTGCCCCTATTTTTGCTAAATTTTCTGCGCCACAGGCAATTTTTTGAAAAAAAAACAGTCAAAAAAGCAGTTTTTGGGCACTTTTTGAAAAATTTTGACAAAAAAAATCGCGTTTTTTTTGGCGCGCGCTCCCGCTCAAAGTTAGTATATATTGGCGCCAAAGGCGCCTTTAGAAAAATTTTAGGGTCGGTCGGCCAAAAATGGATTTCTGAAAAAGTATCAAAGGGGGTACCCTTTGGGTCGGCCGGGGGTCGAATCCCTGAGGGGGGGGGGGGAAGCGTCCGCCCCCCCCCCCCCTAAATCCGCCCCTGAACCTTGATATTTCATGTTTTTTTTTAGTTATTTTTAGGTAAGGAAGAAGAAAATGTAGGAGTTTGCACAGACAAATCAATTTGTCCGTCTGACATCATAGTTTTTATCGTACTTGTGATCACACTTTTGACTTGAAGTATATTATAATGAATCTTAAAGACGAGAAGCGAGCTATTATTTTATGTCTATTGTTCTTTAAGTCACACAGTCAGAAGTATCTAACCCGGAAATCAATTATTTAAGGCCGAAGTAGAGCTTACTTAATCATGAGCCCATTAAGCTATGAGTACTTTACAATCACCTCACAAGATTGCTGGTCACCATCACAGCCAGATGCGCCACAAATTGTTTTTTTCTTCAGATTTTGTCATGCTTCTTGTTGCCATCCTGTTTCTTGCTCTCCTAAAGGAGTTCAAATCTACTCTTGTCAGTTTTGTGCTTCGCCTGTGGGACAGAAACTCGGCTGAACTGACGCAGAAACTGAGAGAATGCAGGGAAAAAGAAAGAGATTTGAGAAAGCTTTCCGAATCAATAAGCGCCCAACAGGAGTTTGCCAGGTTAAAAATCTAAATGTACTTGTTCAAGAATATTATGACAACCCGTGGAATAAACCAAAACATCGTTGGATCCGAAAACAATGTATTTGAAAACTCTATAGTTTCCAAAACTATTGATCACTCCGGTTGATGTACAAAGCTGGAACCGATGGGATATCGATTCCCAGTACTTAGTTTGAGAACTCCAAAAACAATGTTTTCCTTATGTATAAAAAATATGGAGATAAATTCTCTTAAGTAACTCTGTGAAAAGGGTGTCAGGACAAAAGATACCATACCAAAAGATCCCTTGTATAAAAATCGCCCATACCAAAAGATCCCTTGTATAAAAATCGCCCATACCATAAAATCCCATGCCAATTAAAAAGATCCCATGAATTATGAAAAAAAAATCATGATCAAAGTGTAAGCAGAAATAAATCTAGAGTAATGATACCTCAATTAGGTTCGCGCTAGTTGCTCGGCAACTAGTTCAACATATGAAGGAGACAGTTAGGAATCAATTAAATCCAGTAAACAGCCAGATAATCGCAGCTAGTTTGCAATTGGTGCAGGACGAAAAAGCAACCCAACTGTCTTTGCCCTCCCGGTCGGCGCTAACGCGAACTTTAAACAGAAGTAAACAAACGACATCCCTGCCCACTATTGCCACAGATGACCGTCATTTCGAAATACCCGATCGTTTTAAGCAGTTTTGTCTTTTTGATAGCGGAAAACAAGATACGGAGCGCATATTAATTTTTGGCGACCTTGAGAACCTCAATGCACTTAAATTGTACAACAAAACCTGGCTTGTAGACGGTACATTCAAAATTTGCCCCAGTCAGTTTTACCAGCTGTACACTGTACACATTCAGATTGGCGGGTTTTATCCACCTTGCGTCTACGCTCTGCTTAGCAATAAGCGCCTATCAACCTATAACAAATTCCTAACCGCACTCAAATCGCTTATCGGTGACGTAACCCCTGAAAGAATTTTGATCGACTTTGAAATTGCGGCTCTGAGTGCTTTTACCTCTCATTACGAAACTGACATTAAGGGATGCTATTTTCACCTCTGTCAGAGTTTTATGCGAAAAATATCCGAATTGGGCCTTAAAAAGACGTACGAATCAAACAGCGAGCTAGTCTTAGCGCTGAATATGATTCCTGCGCTTAGTTTTGTTCCGGAGTCAAAAGTGGAAATGGGGTTCGACCTAGTCATTGAGGAAATATGCAGTGTGGCAACCAAACTGGATATTTCACAAAACGATCTCGAAAAATTAGACGAGCTCACTGCTAATTTCCAAAAAACTTACATTAGAGGGGATTTGATTGGCCGAAAAACACTTTTTCCTATTTCTCTTTGGAACCATTATCAAAATGCTGTGTGTGGTCTAGCCCGAACCACAAATGCAGTTGAAGGGTGGCATCTAGGTGTAACCGCTTTGTTTCAAGGCAGCCATCCTTCAATACATACGTTTCTCGAAAAAATTCAACTGGATTCCTACAATCAAAAGTTCAACATTTTGAAGGCATCCAGCGGCACTATCAACTTATCCCGGAAGAAGTACCGTGATCTGAATGAAAAAGTTCAACAGATAACAAGTTCATACACAGACTCTAACTTATTGTCTTATATCCGTTCACTTGCCCATTTAACCTATTAAATTTTGTTATAGTTTTTGCCTAATTTTTCCTAAATTTAAAATTGTTTGATCAACTTTTTTATAGACGTCTCCTTGCACCCTCCCGGAGAACGCCGAAACGCAATACTACGACTCGCATTCGAAAATGCTGTTTCTAGCAATTTGATCCCAGAGCAATTGCTCTTATTGACGGGAGGCTAGGTTGGAGGTAGGGGCCTGACGGCCCTTTGAGTATTGCGCCTAGCGAAAAAAAATTGATCAAAATTGAGAATTGATATTTTTTATCAAATAGAACGGCAAGTGATTCGTAATGAAAATGATTTGAAAGCTTTAGAATTTTGCAAAAACTCAATTTCATTTTTGTACCGACTTGAATTGTCTGGAAAATCAGGCCATTTTTAGCAAAGTTGGTTTTGATTAATTGGAAATCCTTTTCAAGTTCAATTATAGTCTAAGCTGTTTTGAAGTTTGAGTTTCATTTTAAAGGCCAAGTGATTAGCAAGGTCATTCATGTTCGAAATTTGTGCAGCAAAATTTTTGCCGTTTCTTTGATTTTAACCGACGCTTTGTTTTTGCTTTGATCGATTAACCGCTTTATTTTCAATTCTCAGGTTCTTTGTTATTTTATTATGGTATCTTATGTCGTGGGCGATTTTAGAACGAGGTATCTTTTGGAATGGTATCTTATTGAATGGGATCTTCTCGTTTGGGATCTTAAGGTAAGGGATCTTTTGTCATGTAACCGTGAAAAGATAGCGATGATCGGATTACCTCAAGCTCCCAATTTTAACAGTTTTATTATCGAAAAAAAAATATTGAAATTTGAAATCTGCATTAAAACGTCTAATTATTGTTTTTGTAGTGTGTTTTTGATATAAACGAGTTATTGTTGTTTTGTCACAATTTATGAAGGCTCAATATCCACAATTAATTTCCTTGATTTTTTTCTCGATAATTAATTTTTTCTGCATAAAGTTTGAATCTGTAAGCAACTGTCGAATCTGTGTCATGTCTACAATTGAATTTTAATTTGTTTCTTTTTGATTCACTAGATGGGCGAGGAATGACAGGGCTCTGCAGAAGACCACAGATCAGAGACAACAGCTGGAATCCACACTCAATCAAGTCAGTTCGGCAGTCGAAGTTGTTTTTGATTATTATTTTTGTAAATGGTGAGGGCTGAATATTGGAGTTGCTTGATAATGTATATTGGTTAATGTATAAATCATCTAGATGCATAAATTATGACACTAAAAAGAATAGCGGGATACGGTGCGAGTACAGTATGTTTAGTCCACAGTTATCATTGCAAAAACATGATAAAATTTTGAAGTTATTTTTAAGTTTTCTAAGGATTGTTTCTTCTAAGTGAATGGACTTGCAGCCGATAAACCTACAGATTACAAATCTATTTTAAATTACATTAGCCAGCTGTTATTAATGAACTCTTCGCTCTTTGCTAAATTTGAGTCTGAGTAGCAAAAATTGGGCCAGTTTTTCTCGACACTAAGGAGAAACCTACCTGAAACTTCTCTTTTTGATTGGAATCCGTGCCACAACTGTTAGAGCTTTAGTATGATATCTTATGCAACCATCGTCGATTAAGGTTAAAATCACGACGACAAGAAAAATCGTTTCTAGATAATTTGCAGTGTTTTTTGACTAGTTTTTAACTTTTTTTGCTTCAATTTTTCTCATCAAATTCCAAATTATGTTCACAATCTAAATCAAAGCAGAATCTGATTATTATTTTTTAAATCCATTTGTTTGTTTTAGAAACAAACGAAGAATGGTATTGGAGTTAAACTCACAATCAACGCGTTGCTGTACGTAGTAACTGGAATCTTTCTTATCACCTTCAAATCAGCCGAAGTGATTCATCTTCCTAGTGAGGATACATTTTGGACACCTGTCCAGAGGATGGTGTCTTATCCATGTGAGTCTAACCTTGCAGTGAGTACCTGGATCGTCTATGCTTCGTCATGCTGTGGAGTTGCAACTTTGAGAAACACTTTGACTATTTATTAAACTTGAAGTTTTTTGCTGACTGTTTAATATAAACGATACAATATTTATACATGACAGCTTTTAATACGAGCAATTGGAATTCAAGTCCTCATTGCTGACAACGAATTGTTTGTAGAAGATAAAAAAAATCTTGGTTGTAGAAGATAAAAAAAACTAATTTTGGTGGAGCTGTAATGTCACGGAGCCATTCTATTTCTCAGCTAATGAAATGAACCATAAAGAACCCTACCTTTTTTTTCATTTTGCCTGGACCTACTGAATACAGGGGCTGTAATAAAGTAAATTATTTAAAGTAAAAATTAATCAAATAAATCTGCACATTTAAAGCCGAAGTTCTAAAAAATAAAACATTATAACAAAAAAGATTATCTCAAAATACAGCTACTAAAAAAGGTATTATTTTTTTTATTCGAAAACCAGATCCATGATTCGAAGTTTCATAGTTCCTACCTTTCTTGAAAGTGTGGGCAGAAACTGTAGGTTGTCCTTGCAATCGTAAAGTACACAAGCCAATTTATGTGTTATAATAAGATCGATTCAGTACTTTTTCCAACCGATGTCACATCTTTCTGTAGCCAAAATTTGTGTTCAATATCAGCGTCGGTGTACAAAATAGTTGTCATTCGGCGGTTTGATGGCAAAAGATAGATCAGATCCGCTTCCATAAAGCGCACGCAATCATTCTGACTGAAAGTGATTATTCAATGATATTTGAAACTTCAAATTTATATGGTTTCAATCACTTCAAACACTTTTCTTGGAACATCTACTGCAATCTTGATTGTTATTACCCTTGCGATAAGCAAGGGTATTGTAATCAGGCTCTAAACTTTTTCACCGTAAATAACTTAAGGCACAGATTTCGCACGTAAAATTGTTACACGTTTTTTTATGGAGAGGTGAATGTAGTACGAGCAGGGGCGGATTTAGGGGGGGGGGCGGGGGGGGCGGACGCCCCCCCCCCTCAGGGATTCGAACCCCTGCCAACCCAAAGGGTCCCCCCTTTGATACTTTTTAAGAAATCCATTTTTGGCCAACCGACCCTAAAATTTTTCTAAAGGCGCCTTCGGCGCCAATATATACTAATTTTGAGGGGGAGCGCGCGCCAAAAAAACGCGTTTTTTTTTGTCAAAATTTTCCAAAAAGTGCCCAAAAACGGCTTTTTTGACCTGTTTTTTCAAAAAATTGCCTGCGGCGCAGAAAATTTGACCACAACAGGGTCTTTTTACTGCTTTGGGAAAGCTCGGAAAATCAATCTGATCGACCTAAAAAAAAAAAAAAGGTCGTCAAAATTTTCGAAAATTTTTTGAAAATCCGCCCCCCCCTCGAGAAAATCCTAGATCAGCCCCTGAGTACGAGCATGTTAAGTGTCAGTTATGAGTTCTTTTAATAGTATTTTTTGTGCCGAAATTTTTCTGTATCTTTTTGGAGTGTCGGCTTTACTTCCGTCGGCTTATTTCCGATTGATTTTTTTTCAATTGCTTCTTGTTTTTTTTCTAAGAATGGACAAAGTCTTACAGTATGTTTTAAAAATCTTACAGTATGTTTTAAATATCGGTTATCGCTTTTTTACATTTTGCTTTGAAAACTAGTAGTTATTTCAATTGAAAAACAAGAACAAAACAAGCCTGAATTGTCTGCAAATCAGAATTTATTAAATTTAAACTTTTGTCAATTTTAATAAATTGCTGGACCAGTTGATTATTTGCAATGTCAAGTTGGTTTGCTGTCTGCAAAGTTTGCTAATGAATTTGTTGAGTTACTCCAACTTTGGTTAGTTTTAACAAAAAAGTATTGAAAAAACTTCTTCTGTTTTCTGTTCGCTAATGAAAAAAATTTTTTTTTCACTAATGTCTGGCTAATTTTGATCGATTTTCGGGTGTTGATCCGTTTTCAAGTGTTGTTCTTTGTAGATTCAGGGAGGTGGACTTAAAATTTTTTAATTTTATTTTTCCTATCATTTTTCTGGGCTCAAGACGTGTCTGCTCGAAAATTTGTTGGCTTAGTTGCCACAGCACAGATTTTTTTGAAACTGTTTTCTTGATTTTTTTTTGCTTCCACATAGTAGTTGAGAGTGCGAGTGTTGTTCATTCTAGTCTCAGGTGGGACTTAAAAGGTTAAATCAGTCAATTATCTATTTGGTTCATTTTTTCAACATTTTGTTTCGTTTAGGTCCACGTCTTATATTACTAGCAGAGTCTGCACATAGCTAGCCAATTTCTCTTCATTGTAGAACATCCGTAAATATTTCTCAAGGGTAAGAAATCATGGTCTGAGCCAAGACTCCTCCACTTGGTCCTTGTGCCTCGGAAGCACACACTGGAAGCACGGAGCACGGCAAACGACAGCCGGCACTTCACCCAGTTCATAGTTTTACTATAGGGTTTCTCCCACTTGGTAGATAATGCTTCTCCTATTCTCCGAAGGAAACTTGCAAATTCTGGAGCAAGCATCCCATCAACAGACACGACAAGAGGAGTGAAAGACATATGTCTTTCCTGATACGCGTCTGAATATTTTGTCTTTTTCTCAACCTCTGCTGAATGCAAAACACTCATGGGGCTTCTGTTCTGATAGGAGATGGCGTCGGTGTCAGAGACACGAAAATCAAAAGACGCTCCCCCCTGTCTAACATAAACTCCACGACAAAACAAATCTGCAATTAATGCGGGTGTCTCATCTTGCGGGTTGTATTCTCTAATAACAAGCTCTCTCTGTACATCCTTCCACACTAAAGAAGCTAAGTCGCCGACAGCATCCCTAATCTCATTGTGCCGTTAAGTTAAGAAACCACCTTTTTTTGCCATCTAACGCATGCCGTAGGGTGAATGGTGACTGGCAACCATCACAAAAAGTTGGCGAAGCGATCAAGTTTTTGTTATACCGGACACTCAATGCATCCCAGTACTTGTCAAATATGTGATGCGCTTCTTCAGCATATTGTTTATCGACAACCAGAAAACTTTTGGAAGGCTCTGGAAAGTAACCGAAGGCGGGACCTTCCTCAATCAATTTTTTGAGCCATATCTCCAATTTCTTGAGTTTTGGTATAGCCGCAGAATCATCAGCATACCAACTTTGTAACACATTGTTCGGATCCTTTAACTTCCGAATCAGGGGAAGGAGTGACACCATAGAAGAACATTGCCAGTGGGTCTCCCTGTGTGGTTCCTTCCCTACTGTATATCACTTCATCGGCGCCAGCAACGAAAAGCGACGCGAAGCCTCTGTAAGTATTGAAAAGAAATCTAGAACATTTAGGCCACAATATTCGAGCATTCCACAACGCTGTTTCACGATTGAACGAGTTGAAAGCATTTGATGCATCTATCAACAGCATGCCACAGCCATCTTCCTTGTTGTCATCAAAAACATCAGAGAACGCATGAATTGCACCTTCAACGCCAGCTTTCAGCCCACAAGCTAATTGATCAGTCGAACATGTTTCTTCAAGGTCAATTTTTGTGAACTCAGCCACTTTTTTGCAAATTATTCTCCGTAGACACTCGCCTATGCCAATAGGTCGCACGCCAGGACATTTATCAAGCGCAATCAATCTTCCAGAAACCAGTGCTCGCACTTTCGATCATGGTAAGATTTGATTGCACATTTTTGTGGCGAGAGTTGCAACTTCGTCTCTCAAGTGTGAACTGTGAGCCCCATGACGTAATTAAACCGTCTGCCAATGCTCAGAATCTGTTCCCGAAGCTCCCGAACTGCCCTGCAAAGAACGTGTCGTCTTTTCAATTGAAACAGAACTGATTATAACATCTTCAAAGTCGCGTAAAGCTGGCACTTGCAATCGCGAAGAGAGATGTGACTTGTGTGGCTCTGGATGCTTTGACTTCAAAGTCTCTAAAACGGTCACACCTTTCTTCACTTCTTGCATCGTATCAAGCACACCCCCGCTTGCTCTCTCCGAGAGCCACGGCATAGCACTTCTCACTTTGCCTTTCATCATAAATGAAGCAAACACTTTCGAGACATGTTTGTCGTCCAAATTATCTTGATTTATATGTTTGTTTTTGCCACATCTCACTGCTTCCGCCAACAACTTGTCGAATTTGTTTTCCTTCCAGTCTTCATTGCGCCGTCCAATAAGTGTTCGAATGTCTTTTGATGCTTTGATCATTGGATCTCTTTGTAACAAAACACGACTCATCGCCAGAACTCTTTCTGAAGTGGAATCAGCAGTTTTAGAAAGAAGCTTCAGTTCATGTGTCTGGAGGTCCACTTACTTCCTACCAATGTTACCATTAGGCAAAGTTTATAGTCTTTTTGGCAACCGTACACTTTTCACCCATTTTTCAGTCCAAATCGAATGATCAAGACAAGTTGATTTGTCAAGTGACGCACCGAATGCTTCCATCATTATGTCTTTGTCATGGCTTTCAAGATTCGGATCAGTTTCTGGTATCACACCTTCTATTTGCAGGTCTTGCATGGCGTGAGTTAATCCTGTGCGGCCATTGCTTGTCGGTGTAACATTAACGCGGTCATTGTTATCTTGTGATATTAACAAGTCTTCCACTTCAAACCCGCTGGTATTGGAAACACTGAGGTGCGAATCAGAATTATACTCCAGATAACTAGGCCGTTTGATAATTCTCTGAGTCCGCCTCATGATATCACGAGCGTTCCTCGAACCAAACTCGAACTCTTCCCGAGCAAGGGCCACTCTGCTCCAGAAACGAGTTCCTCTCCAAACACGAGTTCCAAGCACCCGCTCTGTACCAAACACACACGAGCTCCAAGCACCGGCTCTCCATACAACAAGAGCACCAATCCACAAATAAGTTGTACTCCGAACACGTGCTCTGCTCCAAACTCACGAGTTCAGCTCCAAACACGAGCTCTGATCCAAATACGAGCACTGCTTGAGATGAAATGTCCGCTCAGTTGTCGATGTTGCAGTGGTTGTTGTTTTTTCTTCTTGCTTAACAAGGCACGTGCATAACAATTGTACAACGAATCACAAGATTACACTCTGGTGGGACTTA